AGGGGTGTACCAGCTTTGAGACGAAGTAATTCCAAATGATAGAAGTTTCCCGTAAGAGCGTCAAAAACCTTCACTTGATCAACACAACAAGAAAGAAGATAAACGGCACACGAATGGCAATTCATCAGAAGGGCAGGTAAAACAGAAAGAGCACACTTGGCAGAGAAATGACTAGAATACTTCACCTGAGTATTAGTATATTAAATCACCATTAAGCTTGAATATCACAAGAGCATGGGATATTAGTACCCGAGCATACTGATGGATTAGACCAGTATTTACAGTAGCTACCACTGTACTGGGAACAACAGAAGTTGTCACCATTCGCGCAGCTAAACGGAGTTGTTGAAGGTGCAGCTGAGGAACTCGTCATCGATCCACTTGTGGTAGTGGTTATAACCTCATCACATGAGCATTCGATATTGGAGCCAGAGCAGATCCGTGGAACTTCCCAGTATTTACAGTAGCTACCGGGTATGTATGAGCCACACTGCTCATCACCGATGATACAGTCGACCGGCTCACAAGCTGTAGTAGTAGCAGGAGTAGTGGTTGTAGTAGTAGCAGGAGTGGTTGTAGTAGCAGCAGGAGTGGTTGTAGTAGTAGCAGGAGTGGTTGTAGTGGGACAAGTAAAGGAAGCCGGGAAGGGCCATACGACGAACCTATCGGGATTCGCATTATAATCCCAAATTGTGGTACCCCAATTGAAACTAAATCGGAGGCATCCATCGTCAGCATTAACAAACTGGTCAATACCATGACCGGTGCCGCAGCCTCCTGCAAGTAATGTGGCTTCTCCATCGGGAGTGTTGACACAATGGACATAAACAGCGGCATCACCATATCGATAGATGATACTGTCAGGGTAAACATCATACAACCAGTGAACGACATCGAAACCAAAACGTCCATTAATGGTGAAGTTGAACTTGAATACTCTCGTAGGACTTGAAGGCTCCCACTTCACAATACGATACTCCTCACCAGTGACAAGTTGGGAGATGTAGAGATATCCTTGCATAGATCTCACACTTTGGGGATGATACAAATGCATATCATCATCAATCGCCTTACCATCAGCATTACCAGCGACGAGTTTTCTCGACGAAGTTTCAACACCATCCGATATCGGATCCCATTCATAGACCTGATTGTTCTTGCTATCAACAGCGTACAAGTAAGGATGATCATCATTCTGATTCCAACTAACTGATGTCCAAGTATGTTCACCACTCGCGGGCTCCAAAACCTTGTACTCACCTAAACCAATATCACTGGTCTCGGGAGTGCCATAGAGTCTGATCTCGTTGTCAACAATAGCCCAAATATACATCGGGGCATAGCTATCGTGTTTGTAATCAGTAGAAGCAGCAGCGATTGAGTCGGCTTAGCATTGATCATCACCTCCCCGTAGACACCATTGAGGGTAGTAGTAGTCCG